TTTCTAATGGAGTTAGGAAAACAGTTGTATTTGGCTTAGAAACAGTAGTTACAGGTGTCAGAAGGCACAGAGGGCTGAGATGGCTTTGGAGAGTAGCATGAGTCCTTTTAAAATTCAGCCTGCTTTATGTTAACAGAATCCTCTTCCTCTTTTGGTATCTTCAAGATTTTTTCTGGCCTTTGAGTTGGAGAAAGTCCACCATTGAAGCGACCAGACAACCTTCTCCTAGGCATCTTAGGTCTATTTGCAGTGAGATGCAGTAAGTTTTCTGAGGATGTTATATCATCAAAATATACAAGATCTATTTCAGTCACACTCCTTACTACAAAGGAGTCTAGTTCTACTGATTTTGGTCTAAGTGGTAGATGATCCGAATCTAACTTTGATTTTGATACTGGCTCAGTTTCAAATTTTGATGAAATGGTAAAAACCTCCCCATTCACCTTGGCTGCAGGAGGTGGTGGAGGAACTGGTTTTTCAGGCGCTTTGGGAGTACTAGTCCAGGAGATCGTAATAAATTATTGGCTTTGGTGGGTGGTGTAGGCTTCTTGGGTGGGACTTGTGGAGCAGCTGGTTTGGGTTTCTGTTCTAGAGCTGATTTTTCATCTTTTTTCTTCAGATTTTATTGAAAAATACTTCTTCTCTGCAGCTATCACCTCTGGTTTTGGAGCTGGACCCTTAGCAGGAGGTGGTGGTTTCTTTGGTTTTGGAAATTCCTTATCTTGTTCATTTATCACAACAGCAAAATTGTCTGGAAATACTCCTTCTTTACCTTTAAGTTCACCCTTCCACCAGCCAGGTTCTCCAGTCTCCTTACTTATCAAAAGGATTATCTCTCCTTCTTTAAAACTAAGTTAGTCTTCATTAGTTCCATCATAGGCAAATAATGTTTTGCAGTACTCCTTAACTTTAATTTTACCTTCAGTGTCAGTTTTTGTTAACTCCACACTCTGCATTTTGAAGCCCACTGACTATATGAGTAAGGACTTTTCAGTTTTTTTCTCTTCTATTTCATTACTTAATGTTCTTGTCCTGAGTTTCAGAGAGCCTTCTTTAAAAATATCTCCAAACCAATTCCTCGAATTTTCTTTGGCTGTGCGATTGGTCCAGTTGCTGTTTCGGTCCCGTTACCCTGAGAGGGTAAGGATGAGGTAGGCCTGGTCAAAATAGTTTCTGCATCCTCATGGGCTTCATGGGTCTCACCATCATCTATTCCTCCTAATTCTTTCACAAAATTTGAGGGGAAAAGTCCAGACTTACTGTTCAAGGTTCCTCTCCACCAGCCTTCTTCTATCTCTTCACTAATATCAATAATATCTCCTACTTTCAGCTCCAGTTCATCCTCATTTTGTGGAATGTACTCAAAGAGAACTTTACACTGCCGTTTCTCGGTCTTAATGTTTTTGGTTTGTGGATGTGGCTGAATTCCTCCAGCTGGAAGCCCATAGGTGCTTATCCGCTGTACAAGACTTGCTACATTCCCATGCCTTTCACGTTTGATAGGCAAACTCTCATCCTTGGATTCTGTCTCTCTCTTAATTTCCT